AAACTCTGTTATTTCTACTAATCTTTTCTAACCTTTTTCTTTCTTATAATCAATACTGCTATCACTAATCCTGCTACCACCATCATTGCTGCTCCAACCACGAACTCATCGGCAGAAGAACTTTTTTTCGGCTTTAAAGTATCATTATTACTATTATTAGGAATTTTATCTTAATAATATTTTACTCTTTTTTAATTCTAGTTCTTTTTTATCCAATACACGATAAAATTCGGGCAATTCATCTTCTTTCACACTTCCCTTTTCTTCTCTTAATTGTCTAACTTCAGCTTCCAATTCTTCAATCCTTTTTATCAAATCCTCTCTGGTTCAGTTATCATATTTGTCATGGCCTTTTTGAAACTCTTTTTTATCGATCGGCATGGGGTTTATTTTGTCAACTTCGTCATCCTTTTCAATTGGTTCTAATGGAGATTCTTCGGGCATGTCTGGTTTTTTATAATCAAAACTTTTTTTTGACTCAAATTTTTTCTCGTTTTTACTATGAATATGTCGGATAATTTTATCGGCCAAAGAACGGATTTTAAATATTTTAGTTAAATTATTAATCTTTTCTTCATAATCTTGATATTCTTCATTCAAATCCTCAACTTTTAGATTTTTATTCTCCAATTCTCTTTCGATGGCTCCAATTTCCTTAATTTTGGTTCTTTCCAGGTCAGAATTGGCCTTTCTCATTTTTTCCTCGTCAAGTTGTATTTTTTTATCTCTAATAAAATTAAGTATTAATTTTTTAAACTTATCTAATTCACTAGTATCGATGCCATCGCTGTTTTCATCGTCTCCGATTTCTATGTTAAATACTTTTTCCCATCAACTTTCATAAGGGGCAAATAAACTGCTATCAATGTGTTTATGCCAAACTCCCTTTAATGACATTTCAATTTTTATCGCATCAATTGTAGCACAACGAGCCAAGTGTTTTTCTATTTCTCTTATTTTTTTCAACTTATCGTTGATGTCTGCCAATTCCTCCTCCATTGCTTCTCGGCGTCTTCGAAGTTCCTCGGCATAATCATAACCACCAGAGCCAGTAGTAAACCCAGTTTCTCCCGAATCATACCTTTTTCTTAATTCCTCATTCCCCAATACTTCATAAGCCTTATTTATCTCCTGCATTTTTTTATTAGCCTCTTCTCTTTCGGTTAAACTTTTCGTAGCAAACTTATCCGGATGTCATTTGAGAGCCAATTTCCGATAAGCCCTTTTTATTTCATCTTGGGTTGCGGTTTCGCTTATTTCTAATATTTCATAATATTTTTTTACCATATTTTAATTTCTGTTATTATGTGGAGGAACTTCTTGTCGGGCTTCAAATTGCTGTTCTAATTGCAAATTTAATTCAGCAATTTCTTCACACTTATCGCATATTCCCTGAACATCATCAAGGTGAATGCGGTCCTGTAAAAAATTTTGTTTGATTTCTCCAATAAGATTCTGGTTTTCTCTAATACCATTCATATTTCCGTTTTTGCGAGAACGAACCAACTCATTGTAAATGTCCTGTAAAAGTTGGATTTGTCCCAACTCCATCCCTAAACGATGAGTAAAGTTTTCTAGTTTCTGTCCCTTATTACGAAGTTTTTCCGTAAGCCCACTTTCGCGTGACTGTCCCAACTGTTCTCCTAACGAAGTAACTTCTCTATCTCTATTTTCCATCTCAAAAAGTAATGCTTGTAAATCAGTAGCAGTTATTCTTTCGTCTCTTTCTTGCTGAACTCTCTCTAAATCCCGATTAGCAACTTGCAGTTGGATATCTATGCTGTTGCTTACTAGTTGCAAAGTATTGAGTTGATCGGTGAGATTTTCAATTTCTGCTTTTTTTTCGTTCACATTGTTTTCTAACCTAGCCACTTCGTTTTGACTTTCTGTTAATAGCAGACGGCTATCGTTTAATTGTATTCGTAAACCCGAAGCCTCCCCTCGCAATCTTTCCTCATTTCGAGCATTCCTTACTTCCTCTAAATGTCGCGTTTCTCTTTCAATTCTTCCTCTCAATTCTTCAATTTTTTGGTTCAATTCTTCCTTTTCCTCCTCCATCCTTTCAAATCTTTGGTTCAATTCATTGTATCTCGTTTGTAAACCATTATTTCTACCAACTAACTCATTATAATCAGCAATATTTTTTTTGTATTCTGC